ACCTGTGATCAAACGACATATTGTATGTGAAGATGGGTTTCCCCTCCCCCCCTTTTTTCCCCATCTCCTCCCTTTCCCATTGTTGTTTGTGTAATGAAAAATAAAAAATAAAATAAAAATAATAATAATAAAAGAGCTTTTAAAAGAAAGCGCAGACAAAATCACGGGAGAAAGGTTTGCCTATGATTTTCAATGAAGATATATCTTTTGCCATCAGTATATGAAGAGGATGCCTCTCAGTGCCAGTTGCTGGAAGGTGTAGCATAGATTTCTTCTTAGTAACACTATGGATGTAATTTGCTAGATAGCCTTCTCCTGGAGATTTATTGATTCATTTATTTACACTTATACATATCCATTCCAATTTATCCTACAATCCTGGTATTTTCTAGTGATTAAAGTAGTAACCACAACCAATCACACAACCATGACATGCAAATGAGATATGCTATGCAGTTGTCATAAGCAATTGATGTTGAATTGCAACATGCTATGGATTAAAAACAAAAGAATGGTGAGAAAAGTAGGAAGCAAAGGGGGATTTCATATTGTGAAATGATTTTGATGTTTTATGGTAATGCAATAAAAATATCATTTCTATTAATTATCAGAGTTGCTGTTAATATGACCGTTTGCAAATAATACAAAGGTTTCCATTTGCCTTTTGCAACTATAAATCCCAGCAATTGTGAAGCATAAAACAAAAATAAAAGCAAAATTTTATGCATGTTTATAAACAGGAGGATTTATTATATGGTTTTGCCTGCCATCCTGACTTCTTTATCCTATCCAGTGCCCCTGATGCTTAGTATGAGATTTGAACATTGGTCTTGAAGGGACAGGTTTAATCCTCTCATCAAACAGTAAAGACTCAAATGAACACTACCTACTGATTTTACCTATAATAATTGGGTAATAAAAAAATTCTAAAATCACTTTACCAATTACTCACCACAGTTTCAGCTGTTGACTTATCAGTCTCCAAGGCCTGTGCTTCTGACTTTGCATCAGAAACAGCCATATTGCTGTTTTCCTCTGCCTGGATTCCCAAAGATGGAGCTTCTTCTTCAGCCTTTAATTAGGAAAAGCAGACAAATAAAGGTCACACAATCTGCTAAATCCTAAATCTGGAATAATCAAACAATGGCAGTGCTGATCATATTATGTTCTAACAATCAAATCATAGAGGAGTTCAGAGATGGTACTGAATAAAATACATGATTAATGAAATATGAGCTTAGCCTGGAAAACAGGCCAAGGGGGGTTGGGGTCGTCAGAACTTTAAATGGCAATTAAGTGACCAGTAACATATTGAGACTACCTGTATAAAGAAGTGATTTCCAACCTTGATTACAACAAATATAAACAAATTCAATAACTCTTTGTTTCCTATAGAGCTACAAAGCAGTGACGTGGAGGCAGGGGAGGCAGGGCCTCACCACTGTCATCATGGGGAAAAAAATGTAAAAGGAAAAAGGCTGAGGTAGTTGCTGCCAGAGCACAGTGGATGACTCTGCTTAGTGCTTAACTGTTTAAAAAAGCCTCTTAA